TCTTTATTCTGACAAAGCTCTTTTCACTTTTATTTGTATAAGAACTATAAAAAAATAAAACATAAAAGTAATTTATAAAACAAGGAAGCTGAACTTTAAATGTTATCATTCAGTAAAAGACTTTTCAGTGACATTTTGTCAATGTAAATATGTTAGCTATTATTACTTCCATTGATCTGACTGAGAGCTTTTCTTTAAGAACCAAAGTGAAAATATTACAATACATTTACAGTCACATTTTACTGAAAAATAATTTCAACTATTCATTAACACTAAATTAATTCTCTTAAGATATCTAAATATCATGCGATTATCTGAATTATCCTGCAATGTCTTCTTTCATTTAGAATTATTTTTAAAATTAATTACTATCATAACTGAATAGATAGCTGTAATACTATTGAATAGGAAAAGGATATAACTATTTAAAGGTAGAATATGTAGCTAGTCTACTCTGACATTAAATATTTTTTAAAAATTATTGTATGCAGAGTATATATTTCTTTCATGCTTGATACAAATTTGCTTTTATATTTTATAGTGGTAAGATAGTGGTTAAGGGCACTGTTTTTTACACTTTGCTTACCATGGATTCAGTATTTATAAATTCCTATTTTTGTTTCTGTTTTGCTCCCAGCCGTAGTGGGGCATTATTAGTGGTCACAGTGATCACACTGTTAGTGAAATTAAAAAAAAGCTAAACATATTCCTGTAATTCACCACCATTAACTTCATATTTACTACTCTCTCTATTTCTGTATGTACAGATGTTTGGGATAAAAAAAAAATAAATTGTTAGATGCCATATTTATCCATTAGATAGATGTAACCTTCCATTGCTATGGACTAAGTTTATGTTGTTCGTTTGCCCTTTTTACAGTACATATGAAAAATTGGTTACAATATATTTCATTTGCTATTTAATAAGTACTGATTGCAACTATGTAGTATTTGTATATTTTTATCTTACACTGTTCTATTTTCTGTTGGACCAGCTTGTTTCTACATGATTTCATTGACCATGTAGACCTTCTCCCAGCACAATATATCATGGAGTGAATAGCTTATTTGTGTATCTTTACGTCACCGCAAAACACTATAGCTGCTCACCTGGTTCTAATAGCTGAATTTAGGGGAAAAAATTGAAACTTTTCTAAAGTTTATGAAGTTTTTCCTTTGGAAATATTTAGGGGTTCAGATTAGGTTTGCAGGGTTTTCTGATTTTCAACAATCCTTACAGCCACACCACACTTCTAGGAAACTACTTCTGACATTTACACAAGATTAGCACTGAAATAACATTGTCAATCTGCAGGGAGCACTTGTTTCTCCTGTCCCAATAAATGAGAAAGAGATATTTTTTCTATAAAACTAGCTATATCCTTCTGAATGATAGATATATTGGCTTGTTTGCATTTCTGCTGAAATTGAGAAAAAACAATAGTGGTTTGATTTGAACACATATATGAAAATCCTCCTTACTATTTGAATGCATAATGCAATAACAATTACTAGAAATTCATTTTTCTAAATGAATAATACAGATGACTGAAAAGATTAAATGGCTTTGATAGGCACTTTTCGGGAAAAAAGCTGCACTTTTCTGCAGTATAAATCCACACAGTGGCTGTGTAAAACCAAAGAATAATATTAAATGGGAAAAAAGAAGGAATGTAGATGGGTATTAAAACTTATATTTGAATGAAAATGGAAGATAAATGTAAGGTTTTAAAAAATTCCAAGTGCTTTTAATATCTTACTAAATTCTAATGATAAGTCCCACATGCTTGCATTAGCAAGTATTTATTTATTCAGACATGCAAAAAGAATATTATGTAAAATTATGTATGGACCAGTTTTGAAGTCCAGGACAATTAGAATTCACATTAAATTAGTTCATTAAACTAGTCAGGTAAGGTTTTAAATACTGCAGCCCATACTGCAGACGTGAAAACTGTGTAATACTGTGAAAAACAATCAAAGGTGGTATCAGCTGCTAAATGTAAAGAATTTTATATATATGTATTTTTATTTCTTTATTTTATTTTCCTGGACTTACACAGATTCATAGATTTCACTAGGCAAATTTAATATTTTTAGGAATACATTTAGAAATTTCTGTAACAGTTATACTTGATGTCTCTGGAAAATGTTCCCTCTATTTACACTTTAGAAACTACTTTTACTAAAAGAGATGAGTCTATGTAAAAACAGTCCATTTCCATCCTCTGCTTTCTTTCCTTAAATCCTTAGGAAGCCCTGGAGATTCACACTGGGAAACAAGAGCAGTGACTGCATAGTACAAATACAGGCTGACTTGGCACAGTGTCCCTCACATCAAACAGAGCTTTGCTCTAGAAATGGTACAGGTTCAATAAATGGGCTTCAGAGCAGCTGCCAGCATTCATTTCTGGCAGACGACTAAAGGAGATGTGTGCCATGTGAAAGGCTCTTGCTAGGTTTCAAGGTATTAAAGAATAAGCATCGGAAAAATGTGCCACAGAGACAGGTTCGCCTATCATCCATGAGGACCACTTGAAAAAGAAAAATATCCTTAATAATTATTTTAAAGATTATAGAGAACATTGGTGTGAACTCCCTTCCAGTACAGTCCTAGAACACCATAATCTGTCAATTTTAAGATACTGCTCTTAGCACAAAGGAATCTGGGGACAATATATTATGGATAGGCAATGTATGAAAATCTACGCCATTCAAAAAAATCACTTAAGAATAATTTCCACGTATGATTCTGATTCACTATTTTCAGTAGCTTATACACATCTAAAATCAATGAGCAACAACTTCTGATCTGTAACTAGTGAGAAATTAAGAAACAACACTCATGCTTTACCTTCCTTTTCTTTGTCCATTGATGTGAAAAATGAATCTGGGGGAGGGAAACTTAAACTGAAGAACAATTCCTGAGATGGCAGATAAAGGTGATTTCAGTGAATCTGTGACAATTTCCACAACCTTTCTCTCAGTCTTCTCCAAAAAAAAAAGGGTAGTATAATTTTGGCCAATCCACCCTTTTGTTAGTTTGGTTCATGTTGTTCCTTTCCCTCTATCAGAAGCAGAAAGTAAGAAGTCACTTCTTTCTGAGATGTACCAGGAACTAGAACTCTTATTAACCTAGGAGATTACTGTCATATAGTGGAAACAATGCAATATATAAATGTCAGACATCAGTGTTAAATTATACATTAATTATTTTTCTTAAATAATTATATTTCTTCACATTTGGCTTTTTTTCATATTTTTCCCCCATTTTTTCCTCATATGCACATGCACAGCCTCATGATAAACTGCTGGAGATAAGGCTATTACTAGCTGACACTGTAAGAATCTTTACTCCCTACAATGCTTAGTGCTGAGATGATTTTCATTGCTAGGAGCCTGAGGATGCATGTAATTTAGACACAAATTCTGCTTTTCCAAATTATGCTCTGATTTTTTTTTCTGTTGACAGTTTGACATGCTCTCTTTTGTATTATTATTATTATTATTGTTGTTATTATTGTTATCATCATCATCATCTATAATTTAACAGCTCTCTTTTTATAGCTGTGTTAAGTTCCCCACAGTATAAGCAAATATACTATTGACCAAAATATACGTCTACAATAATAAAATAATTTATCATTTTGGCAATTTTCTTTGCTGTTTTTAAAGTAGGTTTTATGCTGTCTACTCAGACTTCATTTTGTTCTGAAGACCAAAGGGTACTTTAGTATGTGGAGGAATCACAGAAGCAATCTATCTGTCAATTCAAATTTTGTATTTAACAGGTAACATCACTAAGGATTTAATGGCAAAGGACAGACAACCATTTATCTTAGTACTGTATCCCTATGCTGAATTTGTTCCAACACTGGGAAGTTATAAAACTATAATTTTCAGTGAGACTATCATTTCTCATTTCAGCATAGGAAAAACATTTTTGTTTCATTTTAACAGCAGATGTATAGAGGTGTTAATAAGTAGAAAACTGTATGTGGTAACATTGTCCCAGATTAAGAGGTTAACAGTTTGTAAAAGACACTGGATCCTTTCCCCAGCTCTGACTAGAGCTGACTGAACCTGAGCAACATGAACCTGTTGGCTCATGTCCCTTCCCTTCCCTTCCCTTCCTGCCCCTCCCCACTCCTCCCTCCCCTCCCCTCTGCAGGTCATAGAATGGCTGCTAGGTCAGTAAGAAATATGTTTTCATATTCCCCTTTTTATAGTTGTTTAATAATACTTTCAGAATTAGGATAATCTGATTTACTTTTGATGAAAACATTACTGATTCATTGGATTCATTACAATCAGATTATCATCTGGTTATAATAAATAATAATAATGGCCAGTCTTCGCGAACGAAGATTTTGGGAAAGGTCTTTTACCTTTCCAGCCTGCGCAATGGATTTTTTTTAGGTGAGACACAGCATGCGCTGAACTGAGCCCACCCTTTAATCCTAAGGTTCATCTGCCGGGGCCAAGCAAGCTTGGACAATGGCAGTGAGGTCCTCAGGACGTAGGTTTGTTTAGAGTGACCTTCTCTTAGATGGATGGCCTCACAGGGTTAACGAGCTCCATCTGCCCGGGGGACTGGGATTCAAACCTGGGTTGCAGCGGTGAGAGTCCTGCATGCTAACCACTAGGCCACCAGGGGTCCCCTCATCTGGTTATATTCATTCAAGTAAGGCATAGCACACTTCTGACTGTGATTTGCCTTCCACCTTCTCCTTTGCACTTCTTATTTCTTTCCAGACATGAATTTTAAACTACTGTTGAGGGTGTGATGTAAGGATGTGGGTTTACATGAACCTTAGTAATACTGAGTATTAATTATCAGATTATAAAATACAGGCTGAATACCATTTGAATTTTAATTGTATTATAGATAATAGAATATCTTTCCCATTGAACTAGGATGGTAGTAGTTATCACAGTTGTCCCTTATAAAGTTGATGAGATTTAAAAAGAATATTTTTATTTCTTCTCTTTCGGTTTCTGACTTGGATATCCAATTAGTAAGGCATTCTACTAGGAGAGTTTCCATGTCTTTCTTCTGAGCTATTGTGAGATGATTTTGCACTGAAAGTTTTCAGTTCCTGCATCTGGTAGCACAAATGAAATGTTGTAAGTGTTTTTATTATTTTTTTCTTTCCATATTTAATATCAGGTAACATAATGGTAGCTTTAGTTCTCTACTAATGTCAAAGATTAAAGGCTGAGAGTTTCAGATTAGACACTTGGGCAAGAAAAATCTACTAGAAGGGCAGTGCAGCACTGGAGCTGGCTACCCAGAAAGGTTGCAAAATGCTCTTGGAGATTTTCAAGCCTTGGCTGGACAAAGCCACAGCTGACCTCTTCCAGTGTTGGTTATAACCCCATTCCGAGTAGGAATAGACCTAAATGAACTCCATTGACAACCCCTCCAACTAGCACTTCTATCTTACTGTGAAAATGCAGTGACTGTAAGACAGAAAAGGTATAAAGACTCAACTGCTGTCACAAGGGCAGAATATCTGGATAAGCATCCTGGAGAATTAACGTCTTTGGACTTGATTTTCGGGAGCTGCTCCATATCACACCAACATACTGTGCTAAAAAGGGATGATGTTGAAGCTGATTTTCTCCTATGTAGGTGACAGGGTAGAGAGAGGTGTATCACAAACCAGTCTTATTTGGTCTGATAAGGAGTTGCACCACTGTTTGCTCTGGGCTGTTTGCAAATTACATGGCTGTGTCCTTGTGACCTGAATCAAACACAGTCTAAGCAGGACAAACAAGGAACTTCACTAAGGGATTGTTGAGGTGGTCTTTAAATCTCATGTAACACTGCATTACCATCAAAGGGTGATTCATGGTCAGCCTTATCTAACTGACATGTATGGAATCATAGTTCATTTTTTTCTGTGTAAATTCATTGTTTCCCCTTTTCCATAGGCAAATGTGTTATTCCTACTATACCTCAACATAACTGATAGAGTTACTACAGATCACAGTACAGTGATTCTGTTCTTACATTTTCCCATTTCACTAATATAAGCAGATGCACCTACCAAACTATTTGAACGATATGGTCTCCTCAAGTGTCTTTACCATAGCAAATGCTCCTTGATGCATTATTGAGATTCATCAGTGAGTGTAGAAAAAGAATAATTTCCTTTTTATATTTTTTTCTAATGTTGATAAATCAAAAATCTTGGTAGGTTAAACTTGAAAAAATTGCTACAGTAGTCTTCAGTAAAGCAAAGGTATGTTAATGGAATGACAGTATAAAAGGGATATAAAAAAATACATTCCTACAAATAACATTAATCATATTTTTCTCTTAATGGACATACCATCATACTTGTGTATGCTAATGTTGTTTCTACTGTTCAAATAAAACACTCCATGCACTGTTTCAGCTAACAGTGAGCAAAGTCAATACTTTGCTTTGACATCTCTATTGTAGTTTGCATTTTACCTCCTGTTTGATACAGATAAATTCTATAGTTGTGTCACATTTTTCTTCAAGATTGGGCAGATCAGTGAGGGTGATAAAATATTAGTGATGAAAGCTTCAGGAATTAGATATGTCTGTGACTATAGGTTTGCCTTGTTGGCAAACCTTTCTCAGTCTAACCCATTTCTTTTGTGTGAACTCCATCAGAAATGATGTACTGTAAAAAATATTATGTCTGTTCAGATTAAAATATGTCATTTTTCAGAACACAGAAAGAGCCTAAATTTTTTGTTTCATGTCTGAGTTTATTTAACAGCTTTATACATTTTTCGGTAGTTTTGTTGTCAAAAGCAGAACCGATTACCAGTATACCATTTCCTTGTATTTCTCCTACTATCACATTACTCTGCAGAACACACGGAGCTAGAAGGAAGCTTCATTTGTAATCTTCTGCCATAACAGGGAAATGATAATTAACCAGCTAGTTGCCGTGGTGGTTACAATGTGTGTTACAGGAGAAGCTGTGAAGAGACCTCTAGTTTTTGACTAGGCCCTGTTATTTGGGGATTGAAGGGGAGTGGGAAGTGATCATCCCCTCTTCCTTTCAAATACTTTTTTTCAACTACGCTTTTGGGGCTTGCTTATATTAAACTAAATTGTGTCAAAATTTCTGTCCCAAAGGCTGGAGGACTGAGTGGACTTTTTTTTTGGTTGACAGATATTTTGTTTTCTCTTCCTTGTTTCACTACCTTGTACTTCTTCATTTATTTCTTCTTTAGTTAGCTTTAACATGGGTTAGTTAAATAGAAGCAACTCTTGGGCCAAAGAGGCAGGCTTTTTTTTTCAAATTGATGTTAACCTGTGCAGGGTAGATTTTAATGAATTATCCATATAGCAACATAAATAGGAATGGGTCTCCTGACTCAGCAATGAAAAGTAAAAGTAATTACATAAGAACAGGTCAAGCTAAAAGTCCATGAAGAACAATAAGCTGTCTCTATTAGTAGTCTACGACAGTGTGGATTTTTATGTCCTCGAAAAATTAATCATATAGCACTAGGAAGATTTTGCATTTTTCCTCCTACTTGACTCATGCTGCTTACCATGTAGTTGTTATTTGCTTACTCCTGTGATGGGATTCTATCAATCTGCTTAAAATAAAATTTGGAGAAAATGGTTTTGCTTGTCTAGACCTCTCAAAAAACTACATCACTATCTAAAGACAGGAGTTATCCTACCTAATTTTACTCTTAAAAATGTGGAATAAATGGAAAGACACAATCTGCCTATTCAGAGCACGTTTTTTAAACAGCTATCTTAGCATACATTTAATTACTTTATAATGAGTACCTTTGCAAGCAGCACAGATTACATGACTAATGCTTAGATGACTAAACCAAAGGATTAATTCTTTCCTAATGGTTGAAAGCATTGCTCTTTCTGTTCATGGTGCTGTCAGCCAGTCTCAAGGTACTGCTTCGTAGCTAAAAGGGGGGGGGACAGTGACACAGGAGTCAATTCTTGGTTTTATGCCTTTTCCAGACCTGATAATACTTCAGTAATTCCAGTTTGTTTTTTTGATCAGTCTATAAAAAATATTTCCCATCAAAATTCCTTGTTAAATTTATACTTCCACCAACAATGAGTACTCAAATCTCATAATCTTCCAGTCCCACACTCCATCAAATTCACGGTCTAATATTGTGTACTTTCTATCCATCTCTATAGCTCCTTGTAAATCACAAATTTGACAGTCCTTCAGTCCCTGAGGTACACCTAAGAGGTTCTAAAGCTGCTGTGGTTTCTAGGCTCCACGCACATTGTTGTCACGCATTTCCCATGTGTGCTGCTGATGGTTTGCTGAAAGTATTTCCAAGAGTTATGAAGAGTGAGGTATGGTAGATGAGTTGGGATGGGGGAGATCCTTCAGGCCTCGCTTCAGTCCATTACCTGGAAGGAGTATGCCCTTCCACCCTCCCCCCACCACGTGGGCTGGAGATCCCGCAATGGAGTACTCACCGGACCACCAGGGGAGAGAGGACGAAAGAGGAAGTTTATTGTGGGAGGGGGCTTATATAGCCCTTGGGGACCAATCACAGGTGAGGGGTCACAATCAAGGTAAGGAGTTTACAGCCAATAAGGAAAGGGTTAACAAAGGACCAATGGGAGCACCTTGGGACATCTTCCCAGGACACTCCTACCTGAGAGATAAGGGGTTACAGGGGAGGTATGGGGGAAAAGCAGTGGCTCTGCAAAGAGCCAGCTTAACATGAGTTTAAACAACATTAAAAACTTCTGGTTCACCAGCCCACCTTTGGCAGGACTTTTTCCATACACCCATTGCCACAGTGAGGAGTTTCTGGTGAGACATAAGCAGGACAGTCTGGCATTCTATTCTGGAAGGCAAATTGTTGTAGAACATTTTTAACACTATATTTTCCATTCTTATGAGAACAACACTTTCTCGAAATGTTGGAAAAGAAATGTAAGTTTTAAGGAGACTTATTACTTTGTAGAAGACACCAAATATTCCAGAAACCCTATCGAACAGCACAGTTCTATCCTGCGCCCAGTGTGCTTCACAGATCAGAGCTAAGGTGGCAGTGGTGGGTAAGAACACTAGCCCATTGTGTCTAATTGGTCTCATCTCTACCCAACTCACATTTTTTAACCAAACTCTCATTTTTTAAGCAAACTCTTATTTTTTAAGCTTGTCTTTTTTCTATTAAAAAAAAAAAAAAAGGAAAAAGGAAAAGGAGCTTTCTTTTACTCCAGAGTAAAATGAAACACCGAGTCATATGTTTCACAAACACAAGAAGAATCAAGCAGTTTACTATGTCATGTTGACCTTTTGCATAGCGTTAAAAGAAATCACACATTGCTTAGACTTTCTAATTAACAGTATGCTATGTGGAGGAAGTCTTTCAGTAATTAACCTTTCAATTAATCAAAGTACATTTTCTGCTTCTCTCCAACTTCGACCTATTTCATGTTTTTTCTTCCTTTATTTCTTATCTTTTATTTTGCGGTCTAGATCTTGTCTTTGAAATAATAAGAATCACAGCTGATTCACAGCTATCAAAATTTTGAGCTACACCGTAAGATGACAGAGAATAGTAATGCTTATTTTCATTCTAATAATTCTGAATTAAAATATCAATTTTAGTATGATAAAAAAATAACTCCCATGACCCATTTTTCTTGGCTAAAATCATATGCACTCATAAAGATCCTCTGCTTTTCATTCAACCTCAAAGGTTATTCATTTTAGAGATGTAGAACTCTTTTTGTAAAGGGAGACAGAATTCTTCCTTATATATACAATAGAACTTCATCAGACTGAAAACTGAGCTCACATGTCACCTGTAGACTTTCTCTTCATTTTCCAAAATATTTCTATTTCTTAATATGCATTTCTTAGGTAGTAATTTTTGTCATTGTATTCTATAAAAGTATGAAGTCATTTATAAACAAAATGTTGTACAAGTAGGAGTCTTACAAGCCAACATATACAGATTTGAAAGTACGGAAAGGTTAGGCAAAAACCTCAGAAATAATTGTCTATTTCATAAAGTTATAAAACAAAAGTGGAAAGTATTTGATAAATGTAGTTTTCTTCAGCAAAGAGCAATATAGACTTTTCTTTTCTCTCTTGTATCCACTTAAACAAATAGAATAATGTATT